ATGAAGTTTGGAATAGAATTAGTAAAGTTATCATGCACACAATAACAATTATTAACGACGACGACAACAACAACAACGACGACGACGACGACAACGCCAGACAAAATTTTCCCCTTAATATACCTTTCCCTTCCATCTTTGATGGTACGGGCAAGGTAAAAAGAAAGGTCTATGGTTTCATGCGGCTAATTCAAAATCTCCCCAAATAACGAGTCATCTACGATTAGAATATTAAAGGGGAACCGCTCAATCCCTTGGATTGCACCAAAGAATCATGGGACACTATTGTTTATGTTGTTTACAATGTTAATCTATCTTTTGTTATCCATTGTTATTTTAATCCAGAAAGTAAATTTGTTGTAAAATTAATCTTAACTGGAAGGTGCCCCCTTTAAGAATGAGACATAACTGTCAACATATCATTGATCTGTGTTCAGATTAGAATTTCAGAAAGCAAAATGCTTAACAGCTAGAAAACTAGTCAGGTTATTAGCTGTATATGAAATCAGAGACTCGATGCAGTCATATCAGTGTACCTGGGATTACCCTCACAGATTAGAAAGGAGATTCACCACCATATATTTATGATACTTCAAAAAATGTGAAATCTTACAATATTATGTATTTTTTTATATTTAAATTTCAGGCAAATATGAAAATGTGAAATTAGGTAATTTTCTACACATCTACCACGAATGTTTTTAAAAGGAAATTTATATGAAATGTTTACCCTGGAAGACTAATGCTTCATTGAAAACCGAAGAATATGCTTTTATACACATGTAGAAATCATTTTGCAAGTTTTTCTAAATCATTGGCTGTTATTGATATTATAATTTATACTGCAATGCATTTGTTAAAAGTGTTGTGATTGGTCAAGTTGTTTTCATCAGTCATTAAAAAATGAAAAACATTCATGTCTTAATGAAATTCACTGTATCTTGCGTAGTTGTCAATGGTAGTGCAAAGCAGCCACAAGGTTAAAAGTCCTTGTGTCACTATGGATATCTTTAATAAGTTGCTAGATGGCTTAAAACTCATTTACAGTTGCTATGGAGATCACTACATTGGATTCCCAAGCTGTGTACCTTCATAATACTGACAATTTTAATTAGTATAAGGCATTTTTACAAGTCTAGAAATTGTAGAGTCTTTGGAAAATAAAAATTCAAACACTGTTAGCATAAAATTATACTTGTGTTTCTCTAACCCTGAAAATCACCTGCATTACTTTTTTGCATGTGACAATGGAAAATTTGGTTCATTTGTTCCGAAGTTGAAGAAATTATAGAAATATCAAAATATGAAAAATGTTTCAAAAAAATTAATGATGTTAAAAGCACGAACATATTCATAAATACGCTGAGCTTTTTTTAGCCAAAATAAGTCCTTTAAACTTGTGTATTTGTGCCTAATTATATGCAAATATCATTTTGTCACTA